GCCAGCCCCAGAGAGAAGCCGCCACGGGAGCTACAACCACTGGCAGTGCCACAGGGGTGGAGCCACCCAAGCCCTTTGGAATTCACAGCATGCCCACAGATTTCCCGGGATGCTGAAAGCGGAACTGTGGGATTTTATGTTTGCCCTGCTGGATTTTGGTCTTGCTTTGTTCTCATATCCCCATTTGTAACTTTTGGAATGGAAGTGTGTATCTTGTGACATTGAATGTTAGAAGTTTTAACTTTCTTTTCATTTATACAGAGGCTTACAGTTAAGAATTTGATTTAAATCTCAGAGGTGCTTTTGGACTTGAACTTTTCAGTCGTGCTAAAACTGTTAGGACTTTGACAATTCTCAGAGATAGACTAAATGCCTTTTGCAAAAAGGGATGTGCATAAGTCTTTGGAGGGACAGGACAGAATGTTATGGCTGTGTTTAGATGTCCCTCCAAAGCCTCACGTGGCCATAGGTAGGGCTTTTTCAGAGTATGCAATGTGGAATTGACTCATGGCGCAGTGCCAGGATTGAGGGCACTAGGATTAAGGGTGTGAGTGCACCCACCCTAAGTAGGTTGGATATGATATAAGGAATAGAAGAGCTGTGGTCATCCCTTGCTTGCTTGGCTTCCTTTTCCTTGCATGAACTGTTTCTCCTTGACACCCGCATGCCATCCACCCTGCCTTGGAGTCAGGCCATTATGGACTGAAACCTCTACACACCAAAAGATAAATAAACCTTTCCTCCCTTAACTTATGGGTGTTGGGAATTTTGTCTCAGTAACAGGAAAAGTAACTAAGATAACTGGTTATTGAGGTGAAAAGAAAAAAAAAGGCTTTTGTAACCTGACCTTTGCGAACAAAGCACTCCTGACAAATCAGCAATGCTGGGGTGGGAATGAGGGAGTCAGGAGCACCCAGAGCTCACTGAGAAGCAGCAGGCTCATCTACAAGACAGCCCAGATGGGGCCAGGTGTCCGTGAGATGCGAGAAGTCAAATTAGTGGCAAACAAAAGCCTTCCAAGAAATACATGGAAAGAAATGAAAGTAGATTAGAGATAGGAGAAAGCAAGAGGGAAGCACTGTGCAGGGACCCTGGGGCCGTCCTGTGGCAGCAATCTTAAGAATTTCAGCTGAGCCCAGAGGAGATGGAAACCTAAACCAAATCAGAGCTGGCTAAATGGATTCCTTTTCTGGAGGAGGCTGGGTCTTAATCAAATCTGTAACACATTTCTGTTTCTGAAGCTTCTCTGATTTCTGTTCCACACTCAGGCTTTGAAAACCTCATTCAAGCTATTTCATGGCATTATTTCCAGGATTTTTAAGGCAAGAAATAATACCCAAGAGCGCCCATTTAAAGCACACAACAGTTTCAAAAGGCAAAGAATCTCACTTCTCTTTCCCCTCTCTGGGCTTCCTGAGTCCCAAGGAAGCTCAAGAGAGTTTCTGAGGAAAGAAACTGAGCTGCGTTCCGGAATCCAGGGTCACACGAGTTCTGGTATCGATACGCACATTCAGGCCATTCCTCTACTACCGAATGCTCAGCAAAGGTCCCAACAAGGTCTGGCGCATTGGCGTATACAGCTCAGACAACAGGGCTGGGTGGGCCTTTAATGCTCTCTACTCGTTAAGAAATCCATCCATTCAAGCACAGGCTCAACAGAACTTGTGTTCGGGGCATTGCGCCTGTGTGTGGTGGCACCAGAAGACACCCGAGGTACCACAGTCAAGGTCCTCTAAGGCATTCTCACTCACCTCACAGAAACAACACACCCTGCAAACTGCTGGAGAGCAGTTACATGACATGACTTCAACAGAAGAACTACACACAACCCTCACCTACAAACACGAGTACTAAAGTGACCGGCTAGTGGGAGGGTAGTCAGAATGAGAGTTCCCACCACAGTAACGGCCCCCAAGCACTCAAACGCTTGAGACTGGCAAGCCTACTCTCAACTACCTCATTGACTTTTCAAAACAACTCTGTATGATAGGTTTATTCTCATTTTACAAATATAATTATATTCAGAGATGAAGTGTCTTGCATCGGCTGGGTGTAGTGGTGCATACTTGTAACCCCAGCATTCAGAAGGCTGAGGGAGGAGTATCGTCATGAGTTCAAGGTCAGCCTGGATTACAGCCTGTCTCAAAAAAAAAAAAAAAAAAAA